TCCCTTTACTAGTTTTGTTTTGTTTCCTTTGCTCTGCTCTGTCCAGTTTTCTGTCAAGCCCTTCAAATAAACTTTTCCTATCTGACATTACATTTTTCATTTCAGTATTTCCATTTTTTTTTTTTACATTCCCATAGTTTTGATGCCTACACTAAAATGACCCGTAACATGTTGTCTGTCTTTTCCACTACATTTTTGAACATATTTTCCCCAGTTATTTAAAGTCTTTAGCTTCTAATTCCAATATTTGTGCCATCTCTGGGTCTTCTTCTATTGAGGATTCTTCTACTGTCCATATGTCACATTTTCTTTCCTCTTTGTATGTCTCATAATTTGGTTTTTATTGTATGCCTGCCACTTTGTGAAAAGAACAGTCAAAACTGAAGTAGAATACATTTATCCCCAGGAAAAGGCACACCTGTCCTCCCATCACACGTCTTGTGCGGTGGGGATGGGGGTCTGCCTTTATCTAATCTGCAGTCACCTGGGTCTAGCCTTCATTGCAGCTTTAGTTCGAATCTGGTCAACACTATCATCAAACATTCTGAAGGTAGAAACAGGACTTTCTCTTGATTAAGCTTCCCACTCTGGTACTTCTTTATCGCAGCCACGGCAAACTAATACAGATGGAGAGGAAGGTTGCAAAGTGGTACCTTTGACCAAATTGTCCAGAGTCAACAAGACAGAGGATGAATAGAGTTCCCACACTACTGTAGCAAAATTGTCTTTATTTAAAATCAGGGGCCAAAGTGTGAGGCCTTTCCATGCGAGTATGTACACAGCTGATGTCCTGGGTTTTTCCCACGCACCTCATTCTCTAGGTTCCTGGCTCATCAAAAACCTATGGAAACAAAAAAAGATTAGTTAGTGGATTGTCAGTGCTGAGTTCTGGAAAACCAGGAAGCTGAAGAGAGCTTTTATTCTTTTAATTCATATTTATTGAGCCACTCAGCTCAAAGCTAGGAGAGCGTGCGGAGGGCATCCTGTTGCTTCCAAATCAGGAGTGAAGGGCATTTCACTGGAGTTGACGGAGAGGACAGAGAGCAAACATATACCTGACCCAGTCGTCAGCTCAGTCTATGCCTAGAGCCAGGAAAATCAGCCACAGATCAAAGAAAAGCCTTAGATCTCTGGTGTGTCTCTAAGATTGAGGTCTGAACTGGGAGGCCTCCCTGGGCAGGATTCTGCACACCCAGCAACAGGATCCCAATGTGCCAGCAACCAGGCCTGGAACACCTATATTTCTCACAATTTGGTTGAGAACTTTCAGGGTCAGAATCAGCTTTCCAGGCCATTCCCCAGATTTCCACAAATGAAACCTTGGTGGAGCCCGGAGCATTTGTGGGTTTAACAAGCTTCAAGGTGACAAGGTGACTAAGCACAGCTCTTAGCCCTCACATTACAAGGGAAGGGAGAGCATCCAGCATCATGCTGAAAGGCGGGCATCTGAGCTCTTCATTCCAAAGAGCAGCCAGCTGGCTAAGGTAACTTCTCTCTCTCTCTGGAGCCCCGAGGCACCTTATGTGCTTGGATTACTTCTCCCATTCCACTATGTTCCTGCCAAACATTCCAAGGTGTGTGTGTGTGGCAGGGCAGGGGGGGCGAGGGGAGGCGGTAGGCAAAAGGGGGTCCTGCTGTCAGACAGACTTGGGCTCCTTACCTAGCTTGGAACTCGACAGCTCTATGAACTTAGGTAATCATTTTACTTTTTTGAGTTTCAGTTTCTTACTATAAATATCAATATTAATGTCTTCTCAAGGAGTTTTGCAAGGATTGAGATAATGCATGCTAAGCACCACTATGGTGCCTGATACAAAGCCAACATCCAATAAATGTTAGCTGATATCATCCATTAGCAGACTATGACCTCCAAGAGGGCAGACAGCATGCCTTTTGTTTCTCCTGCTAGACCCAGCACTCAATTAATGTTCGTGGCATTGAAGAAGGAAGATCAAGCTGTTGGTGCTAAATGAAGACTTGAGATGTTTACAGTCGCTGTAAAAAAGGAAGGGGGCGGAGCTGCCCTTCACCCACTTCAACACACGCCACCCCCTTACTTTTCCCTTCCTTTCCTGTTTTTGTGTGTGATTTTTTCTTCAAGGTTGCCTTTCATTTTATGAGTTCAGATAATAATAAAAGCTAACGATTACTGAGTGCTAGCCATGTATCAGGTATTGTCCTCACCTCTTCATCCGACTTATCCCAATGAATCTTCACAACATCCCTGGGAGACACCTGCATGATCTCCATTTTAAGATAAATAACTGAGGAATATAGAGGTTGGGGGACTTCCCCAAGTCACACAACTTGAACTCGGTGGAACCAGGAAAGGAATCCAGGTAGAGAGTGCTCCAGGTGCCTGGGGTGTGTGTGTGTGTGTGTGTGTGTGTGTGTGTGTGTGTGAGGGTGGTGGTGGGTGC